TCAGAACCCTCTCTCACTGCCTTGTGAGACTTTTGAGTCAAAAACTCACCCAACCCCCTTCTTCGGCTCGAGAGATCGGTGGGTATCATACGCCCTTGCAGCATTTTGCTCACCAACCCTCCACACCCATCAAATGATGCATTGTGGTAAATCAATCCTCCAGTCCCTTAACCATTGCTCCGCATCTTAACTGTGCCCAGAAAAATATACCCAATAGAATCACTTACTATCATCAAAAAACCTGATCCACGTTTTTGCCTTTCGTACTCGTAACCTCTCACGTTAGGCAGCAGATATCCCTTGCTGAAACCTTGTTTTCCCTCTCTGTCGATATATGCTTTGCCTCACAAGCGTGCATACAAGACTCCACTTCAGTCGTGCACATCAAGGCGCTTGGGATGAGCCCATATGTTTAACATTTCATTCTTTGGGTATGTGGTTACCCTGAGCTAATGAATCGTGATATCTACGGTGTGCGAGCTACACACAGCCCCAAGTGCCTTGCTGGGCTGGATCCCAGTTAACAGTCATTTTTGCGCTTTGTGGTTGTCTGGCTCAATCAAGACCAACGCAGGTCGATGCGGTAAACGGTGATTATTTGTCGTGTCAGCATATGCCCCAACAGGCTGCAGTTCTGAGACTGAGAATGATAGGTTTTATCGAGATTTGTCATGACTGTTTCGGTCAGCAAGGAGGACGGATATAGTGATGCTGGTGATCGATATAATTGCGCAAGTTGAAATGATAGGCCCAAAAAGACCACAGTTAGGTGGAGTCGATACATAGTGTGCGGATGATGGGGAGCAACTACTTCAGTTGTGTGAAGATCATCGTCTGTTCCTGGCCAGTACGAAATACCAGCACAGATGCTCACAACGAGTTACTTGGAAACCACCGACTGCAAGACAGCGATGGATCCAATTAAAGCATGTGGCTATCAATTGCACGTGGGGAGCCTCAGTTAAAGATTGTCGTCCTTCTGGGGTACGCAAATCCACTATTATTAAGCCATTGTGTGAGCCTGGTTATCACTTCGATTTCCGTCAGCATCACGCGTGCCTTTATGGAGGCACTGTACGGGAACTCCTGTGGATGGGTAGAGTACACGACAAGCTTTCGCTGAAGTTCAGCACGTTCGGTGGTCTTCAAATGGTTGCCCTCTCTCGTTTTTCCTCCTCAACTTGGTTATTGACTTGCTGCTTGACTACCCGTCTCAGAAACCTCGAGGGTCGAAATGTTCCCGGTATGTTTGCACATACACATTGAGTATGCGGACGATATTGCTCACCTTGTCTCAGATCCTTGAAAAATGCAGGCCACTCAGTGATGCTCGCGTATTAAAGCTATCGCCTTCAATACGTAGCTACCCAGTTCCTAAACTAACTGAACGCTCCATCGCCTCTAGTACTTGGCTGGATATCCCACACTATCCCATTTTCCGGTGGTCGAAACTGTAGCAGTTGGTACAGCAATGTATCCATGGTAAACGGTTTTTAGCCGAATCGAAGTCGAAACAAATACAAGCCTCAGGTTTGACATGGCCTCTGGTGGCGATAGCTTAACTTGAAAAAATAGCCTAACTTGCAAGCCTTCCAAATAATCACAAGGGATAACTCATTCAACCACTAGTAAACATGGATGTGCAGATGGCTATTTTTACTGACTTCGGTTACCGTTGAGATCGTTGGCATCCGAATTAGAAGCATCCGGTTGTGTGCCCATCCGATTTCAATCATGGGATGTGTCTGTGGCCGTTAACCTGTTTTCTGAGCAGATTTCAGAAGAACGATCCAAAAAGAGGTTCTATGCGCGTCCTAAATCGATTTTACGGATCAGTCAGTTGCTTAAGCAGTGAAAGTTCTCACAAACACACACTAACGTTTGCAAATCTTCATGAACAAACTCAGGGCAATCACACTGCAATTATGCTCTCCCTTCACTAACAAAATGATCCTTGTATTCCCAAGGATGTTCGACATCGTCTACTGTAAATAAACCATGTGGTGTTAGCATGTTCTTGTCATTAAACTGCTCAACCCCCTAAAGAACAACTCCCTCCGGAGCCGTAGAGAAGCCACTTTCAAGTGACTGGTACACTTGACCACAAAGATCTACCTACTTAATTGTTTATGCCGCCATCAGACGATGTCTGTCAGAACACATTTCCTAACTCCGTCCGGATACTGTTTCACCACGCCGGCCTAGATGAGAATCTGTTACCTTCGTTCACTGAATAATCGGATTGGTGACTATGTGACCATGCCTGTTCTATCATGTAGCTTGACCTCCGGCCAGTTATGCGCGATGGTGTCAACAGAAGAGGTAAAATCTCGGTATGGTCATTTGAATGGGCATATGGGAGAGAAATTTGCAAGCATCTACCGATGATGCGATTTCATCGTAACAGTTAGTTTGGTGTACGATTAACGATGTTTTCGTAACTCGATGCGTTGGTGTAATTCGAAGAAGTATCGAAGATACTTGATGGAACTGGTGTGGTTATGAGACAACAATTTGTTTGCTGTTCGGTGCGTAGAATCCGTAGAGTTATTGTTGAGACTATTGCCGATATGAGTATTGGCTGGTGTAGGCTGAAAGCGCGTTCGGGTGTGCCAAGCAAAGATACACCGGATTGCCCTGCCTGGCAGAATGACACACTCACAGGGCACACGCTTCGTTGCTGCGCTGCATAAAGCCATGATGAAGCCATTGCCATCACCGGGTAGAAGAAAGGAGTTGCTCCAACAAGGTAAAAAACGGTGAATTATACCACAATTTCGCACCTATGTCACACAATATGAATGGTGTTTCTGGTACTCAAATATGGTGAATACTAATGGACTAGCAAACTATAGGAAACAAATGATAAAAATGTCATATTATTCCAGAAGAGACCATATATAGTCAACTGCAATCTCTTTTATAAAGGACCGTAAAAACATAAGTACAACGGGTCATCTTTGAGGAAAGTCACCTTTGGAGTTAAACTTTTGGGGTCCTCCCCCCTACCCTAAGATGTTTGCTTAAAGCAGCTGTACTGAATTGGATTATGACTGTGTAAACCTGATATAAAGCCAAATGGTATTAACCTGAATTTAAAACCTCGTTTCTCGAGGACCGCGGTAAGCAACCTCTGAAGAACACATGACATCCTGGCGAGATTACGTGTAAATATATTTTTGGCAGATGTACGTCATCCAGAAAACTGCTACCAATTACCCAGTCGATTAAGAAAATGAGCCTCCTGCATTAGCTACCACAATCTCACCACAAATCCATTCATCTGCAAAATTATCAACGCGAAGAAACGGTACACTCACAGTGCACCGTGCCACCTGTTTAGACATTCAAGTCTGCAAAAAATGGTCGATGCCTCTTATATATCCGAACCCCGAAAGATGTGACGTGGCGTATTGCATCAACAGTTTAAAAAGGAACACGTAACATGGTTGCAATACCTAATAACGTCACAGCAGACGAGAAAAAGCAACAACCGTCAACTCATTTTTTCTCCCGTTCCTCATATTGACAATTTCGTTGTGGTGTTCGGTTGAAACTTCATCAAACTTATTTTCGCTTTTGGGTCTCAGCTGAATCTAGCTAGCAAGTAATTAAATTACTCTTTTGACCAAGAAGCCGAGGACCAGCGACGAGAGTACAGGTACACATCGCAGATGCTCCAGCTTATCTCCGTCCCGTGTATTTGAGGTTATTGAATATCTGCGCATGCGCTGTGATTGAAATGACCGATTCCATCATGCCCCTTTCGTCTAAAGCTAGAAACATCCAGTCTGGTGCAGAAGAACTTGGAGATGTTCATATTTCCTGCTTCCTCCGGCAGAACAGACCCCCAGGTCATGCATCAGTGTTTTATCTTCTACAGTTGTTTTCTTGTGAACGGAGTGCTGTACTTGCAAGCGAGGGATGTCAACTGAGCCAATAAAACAAAATTGTCGCATTTATCGTTATGGAACCAAAATATTGCCAGAATTGCCAGAATGAGGGCAAATTTATCCACGGATCACCTGCTAATAATAACAAGTCTATTTTATGGTTTCACATCACATTTTTACTACTCATGTCTACCGCCGAAAACTTCATTCTTGGTCTGCTCCATGTTGTTTTTTCAGCGCTCCCATGAATGGTTGCCTCTAAAAGTGTAACAGCAGCAGCTCTATGGGTGTAATACTGGTAGTTAGGACATGCATAGACCAACTGCGGAACAACGCACTAGCTGAGACTGTAGCGACCCAGTCACCCACCTACTCGACTGTTCAACTCAGTCGCTCACTGGATCGCGAGGCTTGTCTTTTTTCTCATACGCACAAACACGTCGCATTAAGCTGGCTCATCGGACATCGATTGTCTGCACCGCCTAGTCAGCGTAGCAACCACTCATGTGCCGACGCGCCCACGTATACGCACTGGGACCTACATAAAGGGAAACCGAACCCAGTCATGACACACAGGCTCCCGCGTGCGCAGGGAGCAAGGAATCGGCTCAAGCACTCCAAGTCCACGGACAATCATGGAACACGTGTAGCAGCCATACTGCGAAGAAAACACGTTCCCACCGTCCGGACTTTCACCAAGGCACTCTCACATACGATAAGTTCCCTTTTTTGACTCACTCCCAATTTACACTGTATTTATTTTTATACGTGTTGCAGAAATACTAAAAACTTCTATTGGTGCACACATACCTTCTGATTTGTATTATGGCTATCATCACCTGCGCACTAATAAGACTACTTTCTTAAGTGAATTTAGCGATTCCTATTTCATTCTTATCGAAAATCCTCACTGCACTTATGATGTTCCCCTTCGCGAAGCTCGTGCTTTTCATGCAAATATCAGCCTGTAAATGCGTCTGTCCTCACCTTACCGTAACCTGTCGAATTAGTCCAATACTACAATGTGTAAAGTGTTTCAGCTCCTCCACGTCCAGTTTCCAACTAAATGCATTTTAAACGCAAGACCAGTTACATTTACGATTAGGTAGACCACCTGACAAGCCACCGTCCGGTAACCAATCGGGTCACTGAAACTCGCCCATCAACTTTGAGGCATGAGGACTTGCTCAAAATCTTCTGTCGACTCAGACCAAATTTGGCTCACACAACCAAGCGAAAATCAAAGATCGATCAAACGGCGTACGGTGGAGCCGACTGCCAATCTAATGAGTACGAAAGTATCCCATCTGACGTCTCAAAGTCAGCTCAAATGAATGGAAAGTAACTTCAAAGCTTTTATTGTGCATGCAAATGAGACGACGTAATAGGATACAGGAAGTCATGGTCCATGTTAGCAGACGGCGAACTCAGATAAAAAGTTTGTCGCGCCACAGTTTTAGACAAAAGCAATGCTCCAGGTAAATTCAAAACATATTATAAAATTTCCAATAGAATGATTGTTTGGCAAGGTGTCGTGAAGGAAGTATTCTTATGTTCCTGTGGATAAAAATAATAATAATGATCGGAAAATAAAAATGGAATATTTGGGTGAACATAATTCAAACTATGCCATAGAACAGAACTAGCGTCTGTTCAGTGCGTACATAGAAACCAGAGCTAGGTGGGCCAAGCAAAATGATAATTGTTTTACCTAAAATATTAGGAAAAAGACAACAGAACCGAGTGTGAGTCAACAATTCGATTGTACTGGGTGATCAGCATCAGCAAGTAATAACGAAACCCATTAGATCTTGTGACGTTTGACGATATCAAATGACCAAAAGCTGAAAGTCGAACAAACTAGGCCTTTTGTGCCTCAGTGAAACACTGGTATCAGCTCATGGTTAGGCATAGGAAACGCAATAGGAGTTGATAAGTGAGGTCAAGTTTGAAGTTTGGCCAAATGGGTGGACAAAGCTTGGGCTCATAACATGCAATACACTTTAGAAAAGCCAAATGTTTCGCTGGTACATACTGCAAAGTTCACTTTGTGCCCCTGAGGTAGTCCTGTATGCAGTACGATTTGATATTCAGCGGTGTCTTTTAGCCAGAGGAATCAATCTGCGCCATTAATATCGTGAGGGAGTAAGAAAAACTGGCTTCCACGACATTTTGACTTAATGTGTAGAAAGGCACTGTCCAAATATTCGCACAATCCTTCGCTTATCCCATCTTAGAATACTGCCCACAGCTGAACTACTGCACGAGTCACATCTAAATCCCAACTGAAGTTATCTCTTCAGTTTATCAAAAAGTGGACGGATTCTGACCTCATACCTGCCTGTGCGTGAAAACACTGATGGGTCAAACTTAGAAAATCGCGTTACCAATAAAAGTGGTGTCGTTTTTAAGTTAAACAAAGGCTGGAAATGAGCGTTACCAACTAGTGGAATGTAGTGTTTCGTTAGATATCTCACCTTGTGTAAAGAACAAAAAGTCTAAATGGTTGCATGCTTTTAGTAAAAACAACACTACCTTTTGGTGGCTGACAGGTCTTTGGTAGGAAAGGTCACATGTGTTCTCAGAGAATATCGACCGGAGTAAAAGTTCACCGTAAGGTACAAGCTTCGACTGACAATGCGAAAGTAGTGCCTCATATATTTTGAGAGATATTTCATTGCTGTTACAATGTGTATGCTCAAAGACCCAACCACTTTAGCCAAAATGCCCGTAGACGTTCCTGACACAATTTACTGATGCCATACGGAAGGGAGAGAATGAGCATGCAGAATGGGGTACATTGTCAGAGTACACGAACACTGCGCAAAACATCGCGGCACTATTCTCTTAGGTGATACATCAGGGGTGCTCTCTGGTCTCCTCCCTCGAAACTTGACTGAGGGAGGCAGGTCTGTAAAGACCAAAGTGGTTTTCAGTCCCGCAGTAGGATTCATCATTCACGTTTACCCTCCGGTATAGTCTTTGACAGTGATGGTGCCTTCATCAAGCAGCTATGGTACTCTCTTTACTTAAAAGCCACCATTGACCCTTTGGGTCTTCAGACACTAAGGTTATGTCTATGGGTTAAAGGTGACCCCATAAATTCCTGGCACTCCTTGGAGTCCAGTACTCGAACGCATGACGTGAATGGGTGCGTGAAGGTCTGCTGTAGGCCCGCATCTGAGTTCGATAAATCAAGATATGTCGGAACACTGCCCCTTCCCTCTTAAACTTCGCCGTCGATGTGGTCATGGAAGACTCAGTCCCATCCTCTCTCTGTGGGGTCGAAATTGTCCCAGATGCTCACAGATAACGAGTACACAGACGATATTGCTCTTCTCGGATCTAATGCTATCGTAGTGCAGACAATATTAAATGACCTGAATAATTAGGGGTCATTGTTCGATAGAATGTTGCTACAAGACAGGGGGCTTGAACCCGAACCTCGGATTTAAGGATGAGCCGATTCATGTTGTAAACAAATTAGTCTGCCTGAAGACGAATTCCAATCCGGACTGGAAAGGCCAGGGTAGCTTTCGCAACTCTTTACCACCTGTGATATGGGCATGACGTGTTGTTACACCAGCCAGAAATCTAGCCACTGCGCGCTTTCTATTCTTCGCCATCATTGTCTTCGGGGAATTGTCCAAGCCTGATGAAAACATCGGATCAGTAGTGCTGAAGTGCTTCGAATAGTTTTTATTCGAGACAACTCGGCCACGACATACGAACTTATCACGTTCTATGGGATGCGCTGTTTTCGTTACGTGTTCTGCACGCCAAAGCTCTTCTTGAAAAACCAAGTGAATGATGGAAGCGGGCCAGAGGATGTCAATTAACGACTTGACAACGAAGTATGATAGCCATTATCAGCAAACTCGGCTTCACTGGTCACTGCCGCCTCCTCAGATGAATATCCCGAGAACGGAAAACATCAGTGTTTGGAGATGTTGATAGGCATGCCCCAGTTGTGCACTCAACAACATGCATGCTTCCAGGCCGTTACTTTCACTGTTTAGCATACCCTTCCGATCTTTCAATGAAAAGTCCTTTCGACACCGCTGCATTCATGTGTCAACTATGTCACCTACCACCTCTAGTGCGTAACTGTCCACCCCTACCCCCTAAGATCATCGCCGAACGAAACTGTGACAGGTATAACCACTGTACGATCTGTGCGCGATTTTTACAGCTGACGATGGCGATGAAATCTCCATGGATGAAAGAGTTAACATCATTGTGCAATTAATTACACGAATCAGAAAGAGCACAAGAGTAAAACTTAGCGCTTACCTCTTACGGACACTGTGGTATTTTTTCATTTGAGCTGACCGTGTTATATGACAAAAGGAACATGTTCAGGTGGATTTCGCTTTCTGTCGTTTGTAGTCAGTTTACTTTGTGTCACACGTAATTGGGGGCTGACCGCGTACTGTGCAACTGCTCCCATTCCCAAACACTGTCCGGTGTCGCGGATTCCTTGTTAACCAGTTCCGACACTTCCCAATGTTCTTGATATTCACAGTCTGAGACATCATAGTCGCTGTCATCGTAGTACACCAAAGTTGTTTGCATATTTTTATTATACCCATTCGAAGTGTCCGGTGTTTTTGACAGTGGCAAAGAAACAGAAGAAGTGAAGGTCTTGCTGAATATGCTAGTTACTTGTGTGTCAGTGGGACTATCCCCAGCTCCTTGTGGTGAAACGTTTCTGTCCGAACAAGCGGGGTTGACAGAAGCAGGCCTAGCGCACTCCATGAGTTCGGATGATTGTTCCGGAAACAACACGCGAAGGGTCAATGAGCAACCAACGGATTGTACCTTTGTAATGTTCTGTTCCCTTGGGAAGTTGTTATGAAGTACATTGTTCCTTAGATCAGCCATAATCACATCTGCAGTTACCGGGCAAGGCTCGGCTAAACAGCAACCCTCGCACAAGGACCAGTTACTGGACATACAGGTTTTAGTTACTTGTTGTAGGACCGAAGACTTTTGGAGGAGCACTGTTAAGCTGTTCACAATACAAAACGAAACATCAGTGCCACCTTGACTTAAGATGTGTCACTATTGCGTGAGAATTACACTGAATAGAGTCACCTACTTGTCTTGTTCCAGGGTAAACCAAAGTTATGAAATAATTCAGACCAACAAAACTTATGTTACCTTTATGATACAATCACTGTTAATTCCTGTGAATAAAAGGTGATCGATGTTTGTTTTTTCTTGTGTTCTGACCACTACTGAGTATCGTGATTTACGCCCGTCTATTACAACGCCGTTTCACTTCCACGCTGCCCGTTTCCCCGGGATTTTGATCCTACCTAAGATTTGCAACTCATCATCATCATCATCATGGACAGCATGACATCAGTGTTCAACACCGATGCTTCACTGCCGTACAACCATGACTTATTTGAAAGCCTTATTGTAAAGAAAGGAACAAAGGTGGATGGGGAAGGGACTTAGTGCTAGCTTAACACAATCATTCCGAGGTGCCTACACCTCCAGACATTCACTCAGGCAATCTGGATAGGAACTGACAACAGGAACGCCACTGACATCGGTTGGCAGCCATATCTTGTATTGTCTCCAACCAGGCACAGTGGGGATCACGCGGTCCCCATCCTGGAAGGCGAGTAGCACCGACAGCACCCAAGCGTTTCGTGATCTCCTTCATACCCCTCTGCCAAGTCAAGGATTGGCCACCTCTCTGTTTACGCCACTCTGTGTTGGGCATGGAAAACAGCGCTCTCTTCCGCAAACGATGGTTCGGCATACGTAACACATGTTCCAACCAACGCAGCTTCTGGTGCTGGACACATTCTTCAATGGAAGTACCCGTTACACAACCGAAAACACGCTTTCTAACTGCCTCGTTACGGATTCGCCGACACCA